TTCCAACCTAAACAATTCTATGATTCTATGATTCTAAGTGCATGACAGCATGAGACAGTCAGTGACTTCCATTTGCAATGGATCAGGCCTTTAGCAGTCCTATCCTTTCCTCCCATTTTTCTGCCTGTCCATGGGATCTCATTAAGTGAGAAATAAAAATAAAGGTAAAAACCCCATGACAAGCATAGCAGTGGAGCCCAAGCTCCACTTTGGAAACAGCCATGCTCTGCACCCAGCAAAGATGGTACCTATTAAACAGGGAAAATTTTACCTCCACAGTCAACAACAATATACTGGATCCCAGGGGAGTCTTCAAACTTCTTCTTGTCACTGCTGTCTGTCATAAACCCTTCCTGTGGAAGCTGTTTGCACCAGAGCGATGCAGCCTCTGGCTCCAGGGCAACAATCAGCTTCTCAGAAATCAGGTCAGAGATGAGTCCTGCCTAAAATCACAAGAGGGAGGTGTCAGTTCAAGGAAAGGTGGCAAGATCACTGCTGCATGAATGTCACCTGCTAGGGAGGCTGTTCTCCCCCCAGGAGCCCATGCTGGGGTGGTGGTTCTTGCAACGCTGACCTCTGCGGGGCTCATTTCTACACAGTGGTGGGAGGAAAGGGCAGAGCAGTTGTTACTGCCAGCTTGGGACTCTCCTCCACCACCCCCAACGTGGGAGGTTTCTCTCCCTGATAGACTGGAATTTGAAATACAGGTTGGTTAAATGTTGAGGAGTGCCTCTGCCTTGATAGGTAAAGACTCTCTGAAGATAATTCGAGGAAGAGTAAAAAGTAAAAAAAAAAGAGAGTAAATGCTTTTACCTCTTTTGCCACCAGCCGCATGAACTGCCTGGCAGCAGCGCTCCATATGGCCGGGACAGTAATGACCCAGGTGATCTCCTCCTGGTCACAGACGGTTTGGAAAGAGGCCTCTTGGATGGTGTTCAGGGCATGTTCTTTCAGGTAGCGCAGGCTTTCGGAAAAGACTGTCAGGGCGGGAAGCATCTTTCCATTGCTGGCTTTCAGCTCCATGCCAGAAGTGACTTTCTACAAAAAAAGGTCTCAGGGTCACATGTGGCAGACTCAGCAAGAGACCCATCCCCTTCGCACTGCACAACCTATGGCACAGAAGGAGGTCCTGAGTCCAAACCTGAGTAAATTCCCAGCAATAGCTTCAGTATTGTGGCAAACTGCAGCCTAATGGACACAGGTCAGCTGCCAAACCACTTACCCATGACATGTGTGATTCAATAGGCAAAATACCAGCTGTTTCTCCTGGGCCAAATTTTGTAAAGACCCTGTAGATCCTCCTGAACAGCTAGAGGGGAGAATTGTACTTTCTCTGTGACACCACCATACATTTTCCAGGTGTATGTACAGAGACTTCAGACCTTTCTGGTTGCACCTATACTTCTGTGTATGACATTAACAAAATATATGCTGGACAAACATGTAGACAGATAACCCTCTGGTCTGACACAGTTTCTCTATAATGTCTCCTCTTGGCTTATGAGTGTATCTTGAGGCAGGTGGCTGCCCTGGCAAATTTTTTAGTCTTTTCCAGGAGACCAAAACTCCCTCCATCAGTCCCTGATTGTCTACTCTGTCTAGAAAGAGTCAGAATTGTTGCCTGTATCCAAAGAAGTTTCAGGAGCCAGCCTTCACTGCACTGTACTTCCCTTTGTTTTGCTTCAGCAGCCACCAAAATGCCCCTAAATTACAAAGATGATCAACTGGATAATCAGCTCTATTAACCTGGGATCCTTTACAGCCAATGGAGAAAAACAGGCAGGTCCATGTGCTGCCCAGCTTAAATAAGACAACCAGGAAAGGTGAGGTGAGTCCTGCTCTGCAGGTGCAGCTGCTTAAGAGAAAGGGAATCTCTGTTCTTTTTTACTTACAATCTAATCTCCTGTCACTGTTCCTGGCTTAGTTAGGAAAGGTTGATATAAGGAAGCTGTTACGACATGTCCTCCATGGACACTTTCTATGGAGATTCAGAAATAGCTACTTACGTGTCTAGGAACTGGTGTTCCCTTTTCTTGTCTCTGACCCCTTCTAATGGTTGCCCAGAGAGGTTATGGAATCTCCATCCGAGATATTCAAAAGCTGGCTGGACAACAGCCTTGGGCAACCAGATCGAGGTGGCCTTGCTTGAGCAGGGAGGTTGGAGCAGATGACCTCCAGCAATCCCTTCCAACCTCAACCGTTCTGTGATTCTGTAATGAAATTTCCCTTAAACATTTTCTTCTTGGGTGCAGAGAAATGGGGTTGAACTAAAACCTCTCTCCAGCCCCCTCTGAAAGTGAGTGAAAACCCATCACTCCACAGGTGACACTGTGGCAGATCACATTCCCAGCTTTCCTGGGGAGGGAAGCCTTCACAAAGACCTCCCACCTACCGCCTCCCCCACATCCAGTTCAGCGCTCATTGCTTAGCGCTGGGGGATGCCAAAGAGCAGACACAAGACTTTATCTGGGGCTGGCCCTGTGCTCTGGGTTATTCCAGAGCCCGGAGCACAGACAAGGAGGCCCTCAGGTAGCCTAATGTTTGGCTGAATGAGCAAACCCAAAAAAAAACTGTGAATCTTTTTTGTCCAATTCTGCACTAGCACAGAGCCTTCAAAGAGAAATGATAGTCACAACACACTTGGAAGGACAGCTAGCCACCCTTAAACTGGCTTCAGCATATCATTTCAGGGGAGGGGGAGACAAGCTAGAGGGAGGTATATAACACAGTGATCCTGAGGTTGCCCACCTCCTTTGAACTACAGGAAGCTTCACTTGTTCCCTGTTGAGGACTGAAGGCAGCTTTTCATTAAGAACAAGTACTTGGCTTCACCAAAGTGTGCAGTCAGGTTTTATTGTCTTTAGACAATGCAAAGCATCATAAAGAAAGGGCCCATGAAGCTTTTGGCTGATTAAGAAAATAAATAATTTCTTCTTCAGTTCATCAAAATGCCCTTTGATTTCCATTCAGTCATCCTCATCAGCCAGATTTACTCAGCCCTCTTCACCAACTTGTCTAAAGCCCACCCCTCAGATAAATCACTAGCTCTGACTCCCATTTAGCAGTAACTGTTCCACCTACTGTGTTGTACAGCTGCATCTTGAAGTTCTGGAAGAAGTACCACTTGTCAGCTTCACTGGAGGGCAGGCTCTTGTACTTCATCACAGCATCGTAGCCAAACTTTCTGAACTCCTGCTTCTGGTTGAACAAGATGCACGTAGGTGTCTTCGGGGTCCTGAGCCCATGCTCTGTTCCCCAGTACACTTGGCGGATTTGGTCTGTACCTGAAGCAAGGGAAAAACAGTACCCACTGTAGGACGTGCCAAAATCTATAGCAACGACGAAGACTGAGTTGCTGGCCATGGCCGACAGCAGTGCAGAGGTGCGCAGCTCGGGGAGCTACAGAGTAGACAGATAGGACTGAAATGAAACTGTAACTGAACTGGCTGATACTGCTGGGTAAAGCCACCCCTCCGACTTTATTGGCTGAAGAGAGATATGACACTAGACACAGTGCAAAGAAAAGAGTGGTTTTTCCTGTAAAAGGGTGTGTGTGGGGGGGGGGGGCTTATTTCTGCCTCTTACAGCAGAAAAATCCCTTTGTAAAATCAAGAAGGCAAGAAGGCACCTGACACTTGCAGTAGCTTCCTGTGCTCCCTCACAGCACAGTCCCCAGTGCTGCCACTCATTTCAGCAAACATTTTCTGCTGCTGTAAAGGCATGGATACATCCGAGTTTTCTTCCTACAGCAGAACAGGGGGGTTTGAAGGAATGTGTGAGTGCGTTGATCCTGGAGAGATGACTGCAGAAGGTGGCAGGTATGTTGCACAGGGGGTGTCTCTGGCTAAACTTACCAAGTTTAACCTTAGTAGGTCTGAATACAGTAGGTCTGAAGCACTGGAACAGGTTGCCCAGAGAGGCAGTGGAGGCCCCATCCCTGGAAACATTCAAGGTCAGGTTGGACGGGGCTCTGAGCAACCTGATCTAGTTAAAGCTGTCCCTGCTCACTGCAGGGGGGGTGGGCTAGATGACCTCTAAAGGTCCCTTCCAACCCAAAGCATTCTATGATTCTATGATTCTAATATCTCTACAAAGTCCTTTGGGGAGTTGCAATGAGGGACTGCAAACATTTCCTGACTGTGAAATATTTCAGTAAAAGCTCTGCTTTCTACTTCCTATCTGTCACAGGGGCAGTTAATTTCCTCAAATTCAGCTCAAGTTCAGCTCCAAAGGGTGAGGCAGATCTTAAATGGGTGTCAGAGGAAGAGAAATTGGAAAGAACAGTATAAACAGTGTAACAGACCCCAAGCTTTGGGGACTCAGTCTCTGAGCTCAGTTTTGCAGGGAAAGGCTGACTTAAATTAAGATTTTATACTGGATTGTTGAGCTTAAAGAGAAAAAAAAAATATCCTCAGTAAAAGACTGGAAGTTAAGTGATTTAACTAAAAAGGAATCAATTCAAGTAAACAAATCCAAAATCCATTTCAGCTGGAGAGGAGCAAGGAGGTGCTGGGGAAAAGGGGCAGAACAGTCCTTTGCAGCAGCCGTGCAGACTTGGCTCAGCATAAACTGATGGTGCAGCCTCATGCTTAGGCTTTCTCTGATACTGCCTTGCTGCAGGAAGGAGCTTGCTGTCTGCTCCACCTGTATCTGAGCTGCAGGAGTACCTCAACCTGGGATTTTCTCTGTAGTAGTAGCTGATGTTTGGGATCCTCTTTAGGAAATAGGACACAGAGCAGTTGTAGAAATGAAAATTACCTTGAGAACATATAGCTTTGTTCTTCTCTATTAAAAAAAGTCCACACCCGTAAGTTGCGAAGTTTATTTCAGCAAAACAGCCACCTGCATTTGGTGTTCCCACACTCTGCAGGTCTGGGTTGAATTTGTTTTTCAGGAGTTGTCCCTGTATCCTGCCCACTTCATCCAGACTTAATGATTGCTTAAATCCTCCATCTGTGTTTTGCAAACCCTGGCCTGTGCAGTCCTCTGAACTGCACCAGGCATCATCTGGGACAGTGCCAGGTCACTTGTGCCAAAACTGCATCCAGGAGTGTGCTGAGCCATCATACGCACTGGAGCCTGTATCCTGGCTCTGATCTATTCGCTACCGTGGATGTAGCCGTTGGGGTTGTCTTTTATAAGGTACCTGTTTAGAGTATGTGATTTCTTCACCTTCATCTTAAGAATTCCATTTTCTTTTTTCCTCAGACAAATACTTGACACCATGTGGCAACCATCAGCCCATGGAGACGAGACTTCAAGGCTAGAGGCATTACGTCATGGTCTGACAGAAAGGCTGGCGCAGGTGGAAAAAGAAGTAAGGTGAGTCTGGTGATCAGAAATTACAGTGTGTAGCGTGGCCCCTGACGATCAACTGTAGCTGGGGTATGCTAGGACAGGTTAGATGGAAGATTACAAATAAGCCAGACACAAGGAGGGCTCCAAGTTAGCACCAGATTTTGTCCAGGCTACATTGGGAACCCAAAGCCAATTTACAGAAGCTGTTTGATCTGCATCATATAACTTGCAGATCTTACACTTTCAGAGTATTTTAGTTGCACTGTTGGTACTGCCTGGTATTGCAGTATTTTATTTGCACTATTGGTACTGACTCACAAAATCACAAACCACCTACCTGGCAAAGCACAGACTTGAGAAGTTTTGGTAGCTAGATTTTTTTCCCCCTATGGGCTGATCAGGTATTGGAGGGAGGAAGTTTAGCTTGTGCATTTCTTAGGACTTTAATGGATACTTGCCTACTGACTATAATGTGTTTTAATATTTCTTTCTTCCCCTGACGGACTGATGGACAGTGAGAAAAGAGTTTGGTGTGACTCTGTTGATACTCGACCACAACTTCTGGAGAGTTACCACAGGTAATGTGATTCTTTATATTCAGAATACCTATAAGAGGGGAAAAATCATAAATGTTTCTGCGACTATAACTGAAACTTGAATATTCAAGCCTTGGTTATCACAACTCTGTCTTGCAGGGCAGACCAAATTTTCATTCTTTTGTTTGAGTGCATTGTCATGGCCAGGCATCAGCTGCCTCTGCAACGGTTTTGTCTTGGAGTGCAGGTTGGGGCACATGACCAGGGAACGTGACATGAAAACATGTCATGTTGTGAGATGAACTTTCATTTCCATGCAAATACACCTCTGAATAGGAAATGGCTGCCTTAACAACAGCAGCTCTCAAGATAAAGGCATCCAGCCTAACATAGAGAGGGGAGGTGGTAAAAGCAGCTCTGAGGACACTTTGAGTAGGTGTGCAGAGGCAGTCCTGGGTTTTTGTCATGAAAACTGCCCTCTTATGAGCTAGGCAAGTGCTGAGGGAAGGAATAGTGGCTGGGATAGCGGTGAGAAGAAGGGAAGTTGTTAATCAGGAGGAAAGAAAAAGAAATAATAGCCTACATATTAGCATCTTGGGGATAAAATGCCAACATAAATCATTCTCAGTGTCTAAGGCCAGGAGTGAGTAAACTTCAAATAGTATATCTGTATTTCCATACCCTTCCTGAACAGCTTTGTGGAGAAGAGGCTTTCTTGTTGGGATTTCCATGAAGACAGGCTGCGGTATTTTAAAGTTTGTGATCATGGTTGGAGTATCTGTGGGATCATGCAGGGTTTGCAGTTGTACAGTCACAGATAGCCTGGTAGTGGAGGAATACTCACACTTTCTGAAATCTTGGAGCTTTCTTCCAGAGTGGCTCAAGTTTGAGACTTGGGCTGATGCAAGGCAAAGGTTGCCAGACACTAGACCTAGATTCAAATGATGACCAAGCTCAGTCACTTGTGTCCCCGAGTTTGTTTGCCTAATTACAGAAAGCTGTCAGGACACCAGTCTAGATCCAGATTACATCTCCCAAATTCAGGTCCTCATTCTTGGTCTGTTCCCAGGTCTGTCTGCTTAACATAGATTGTTTTCTTCCAGCTCTAGACTGCATGCTGCATCTGATCATTGCAAGATGCAGGAGACCAGCAACCCTGGTCCTCCTTACCAGGAAGGACACGGGAGCCATCAGGAGTGAGTATTAGGTTTTTCTGAATTTCCTTTTCTCAGTATTGTCCTTTCACCCACAGACAGTCATCTTCCTCCACTATGAATAATACATCTACCACCTCCAAGGTTAGACAAGCTCTGAACACAACATTTCTGTGTGCAGTAATGAAGGTAATTTAATTGACAGAGGAGAAATTTGATGGGATAATCCACAAGATCAGAATATTAATATAGGATGGTATGGCTTACTCTGAAAGGAAGGGAAAGAAACATGGGACAAGAGGCTTCCTTTATATTACGGCTGCATGTACTTGTTCTGGGATCTGTAATACAGAAGAAGACACAATCTCTAAAAACCTCTGGTGAATGATAAAAAGCAAAAAATTTCCAGCACTTTTAGGGTGTGGGTCTGCAATCGACCTAGGGTCATCGCGTAGCGAGGGCTTTTTTAAGCTCTAGTAGTATCACCTAAAGAGCAGGCATTAGAAATGGGAGAATTTCACCTGCTGGAGGAATAGGAGACTGACATTACCCAGACATCTGTGGAGAAAGGAATCCAGGAGAGCAGAACTCTCTGGAGGGTTTGGGATGTTTGGTGATAATGTTTTGATGTTAAAGACGGAGAAAAGAACTAGAGAAAAGATGAAAGTAGATTCTAACAAGTGGAGAATACTTTTGTTTTCTTCAAGCTTTCAATCTCTGATCCTCACAACCCCACCTCCCTTTCTTTTGGTGTAAGTAGTTCTCCCCTTGATTTGAGCATAAATCCTAGGTGGGAGCTTTCAGGGGAGGTTGTTAAGCTCCCCTGGAGTTTTTCCTGGGTGCTCTGCACACCTCACAGCTTTTTTGCTGGAATTCAGGCTATTCAATAGGGGCAAATCTACTGTTGTCCCAGTGTTCAAGCACAAATAGAGACCTCACAAAAGAAATCTGTTTCAGAGTATTTCCTGGAGAGGTCACCCAAAAAGAGCTTCAGGAGAAAGAGGAATGTAAGAAGCTGAAAGAGAAGATCAAGGAGCTAGAGACAAGGTAAGGTATTTATTAAGATTTCTGATGCAATGTGTGTTTCTACACTGAAGAGCCACGTATTTCTTGCTTCCTCCAGTCCTTAGGGACTCTTTGTTTCTGACCAGACAGCCTAGACACCTTCTCCCCAGACTTTCAACCTGCTAGCATCTCTTTGTAACTGGTTTCTGGAAGATGGTTTGGGTTGTTCTGGAAAGGGAAGGAGATATTCCCAGGTGAACATGTTAATAAAAGAAATCAGCCTACAATGACACAGTTGAAATGCCGCTCTTTGAGCAGATTCCACTGTGATCATGCAAAACTGAGCTGAGAAAGCACTATTTCCCACATT